CCTAGCGACAAGGCAGCGAAACCGCCACAAACCTGGCCCGATTGTTTTAGCGGCAGGAGATAGGCAGGGGGCAAGGCGAAGCGATAAAACAAAAACAATTATTTTTTTTATCACGTACTACTCTTTTTGTCTGTTTTTGCTATCTATGCAGATGACCTCTGCGTTGCCTTGCAGGTGTTATGAAAGGAGTTAATGTTCCAAACGGCATGCCAAGAGAGCTTTTCACAGAGGAGATTTCCAAGCGGATTTGGATTCGGAATCAGACCACACAAATCCCAGAACTGCTTATCTACCAGTACACTGATTGGTCCAACGCCAGTGATCCTTATTTGCTACGACAGCAGTTTATGGACCTACACTCAGACTCCGTCTTCAAGGCTCCCGCGATACTGTCAGCGGATGCGTTCGTAAAGGAGGAGGTTCCAACGTATTTTTATCAACTAGAAAAAGCACCCAAGGTTTTTCCCGCTATACCGTTTCCATTGCCTCCCTGGTTTGGGATTTATCATAGAGCAGATCTTTTGTACGTATTTGGAGGTCCGCTCATTATGGCGGCGAACCTTACAACTGCTGCTGAAATAGAACTTAGCAAGAGTATGATGAAGATGTGGACAAATTTTGCTAAAACAGGGTAAGTTGAGCGCCCCTCTACCCCACCCACCACAGTTTTGTGAGCGAAGTCTAGGGGCAAACTTGCTTCCGGCTTCACGAATTTATTTGGGCCCGATGACGTAACCCTATAGCATTATAGCGCTAACATTTAGTGTAAGACCACTCTTGACGAGAGACCATCCAAAAAGTGTGTACCCTTTAAGTACCAAACTGAGACGCTTGCCCACGCCCTATTTTTTCCCTTGATAACATTTTCCTGTAATTTCTGTACAGTTTTTCTTAAGTGAAAACATTAATCGTCTTGAGGCTACCTTATTATATGATGAAAGGTTCAGTCAAAATATTTGACATTTTTGAACTACTTTGAGTTCGAAGTTTTTTTGCATCTTGTGCCCATTAAGTTATGGTGGTCATGACCGACCGATCCGCTTTCACGGAAGAGAGGGTGATCTGTAATCGAGCGGACACTTTTCGTCGACGTGGCTAAAGAGGTTTGCATCACACTTTGAATAATCTCCTGATATGTCAGTGTTTTATCTTCATTGTTATCTAGAAATCCAAACAACCCGATACCACTTCGTCACTCTTGGCCAAAGTACACCACTGATCAGGGGCAATACCTTGCACTAAGGCCCAATATAACCGTCAAGATGAAAATGCGTCCAGAGAAGATGGCTCTTTGGAACACTTATCTTCCGAATATCAATCAGACAGTAGTGGAACAATTACCTGCAGAAACAACTTCCTTGCCCCCGCAGCCCTGTACAATTAATACGTGTGGTCCAGGTCAGTGTAGTCTTAACAGTAGGGAGCTTATGCAACGACGACGGCAACGGCCACGAAAACGTCACTTAAAAAGAGAATTTGCGCTGCCTCAAACTTTATCCCGCTTATTCCATCTCGTTTAATTCGTCAAATGTTGGCAAATTTTGTTGGAGTTGAATTCTACTGAAAAGACTGTATCAAAGTCCAGGGAGAGAAAAAGAGTTGTAGTCGTGCCACGACGGCAAAGAAATGTTCAAAAAAGCGTGATGCAGTGCAAAGTCAAAATTTTGTCAATCTAAACCTATTGGTTTATTGCCGTTCTCGTTGACGTCGTCATTCCGTAAGCTCGATCACGTTCCCTTGTGCGTGCAGCTCGCGCATGACTCCTCGCTATAACCGCAAATGCAGAGAGCCCAGGATGACATGCTCAAGTTTAGTCCTTAGTGTTTATATTACCATTTTAGGATAAATTTGTTCAAGGTAAATGTAGTCTGCGTGTAGCCTCTTGTTTTTCTTTATGGTTGGGAGGGGGTGGGGATGGGTGGCACCCTTCGTCGAATGCTTGCGTATTAATCACTTCCTTCGCTGGCGCATTTTGTTCAAAAGCGAAGATTTTGGTAGATCTAGGGGGAGTTATTTATCTTAGACTAATAATTTGTTTTTGATTAACTCGTGTGTTAATGAGCCAAAATGTAAACAATGGCATCAGCATAATAGTCTCGCCTATACGGACAAATCAAAATGCTCTTTCAGGAACAAGACACAAAATCCTGAGCGAGTAAAGTAGGCCCTCTTTGCCTGCTCGGGTAGCCAATCAGAAGACGGCATTCGTTTTATCTTCCCACTTGCGGAACCAGCCATGAAATAAAAAATAATACAGTCGAACCTGTATTAAGCGGTCACCCTCGGGGAGTGGCTAAGTGACCGCTTAATACAGGGTGACCGCCTAATACAGGTTGCAAGAAATACAGCTCAAGGAATTCGATCTCCAGTGCGGATCAGATCAGACATTTGACCTAAAATAGAAACATTTACTTCTGGCGTTTTTATGATTTGCGAAAATAAACAAGGAAATCAGTTGTTGTACCTCGTGTGCTACATTATTTGAAAAAGTATCAATTGACACCGTGTGACCGTTTAAAACAGGTCAAGACAATAGAAATGGTGACCGCGACCGCTTAATACAGGTGACCGCCTAATAGAGGTGGAAATTACAGTACATCAAGGGAAGTAATTTTCGGGACTTTGAAAACTGACCGCTTAATACGGTGCCGTTTAATACAGGTTCGACTGTATTTACCTTTAGACTGCTCATCTAATCAAATACCACTTTTCCTTAGTACTTAATTATCATTTTTTCCACAGATAATTGGCGGACAGTCCTGATCATCTTGACAGTACTGTTCTTCGTTCTAGCAGTTATCTTCCTAGTGTTATTCGTCGTAACATGGTGTGTGTGGAGGAGGCAAAGAGCAAACTATACTGACACAATCATCATGACTACAAATATGTAAACTGAACTGACACTTTTGGACCTCTCATTAAAGACCCCTGTGAAAACCACCCTCTGCCAGCAAAGCCTTTCTCTCGCTTGCTAGATATGATTTTGGAGTACTTGAGAAAGACTCTGCTTGAATCGAGTAAGATGTTTGTTGAGCATGCGCTGAATGTTGCTGGGATACAGTTTCGAACCCAGGCCTACTAATTGTCCGCCTGGTACAGCGATTTTGGTTATGACAATTTACTGATTGATCAATAAACGGATTTTCGCACTTGAAAAACCAGTTTGAAGAGAGAAAATAAGACTGACTAGAGCAGAAATTCAGGCTGTGGCGACTTCAAAGGCTTGACGCCATATTCTACCAGAGCCTCCTTTTCTGGTGTAACAAAAAATACAAACACAGAGTACGATCTCGTGTTGTGTTTTTAAATCTAAGGTTATGAAAAATAATTAATTACAGCTTATTACCTGTTGTTCTACCGGCAAATCACCAAAAAAGACCACTCTATTTCTGATCTATCATTTAAATCGGCTTGTTGATCATTGTTTCATGCTGTGACGTCATAACAGGTAATACGTCTTTTGAAAAATAAATTGTTTCAAATACAAAAAAAAATCCTTTAGGGCAAAAAGAAAAGGAAAGTAGACTGTAACGGTTGCATGTCACGCTTTTTAAAATGGTCCTGTATAATTTCTGGATTATGGACGCATGTGTCAGTGTATTGGTACTTTTTAGCGCAATTTACGGCGAAAGAATGCGACGAAATGGACATGTTCAGACGGCGAACGCTTCAAAGATCACGGAAGAAACATCAACAGAAAGTGAAGGAATTTCATCGCTGGGAAATCCGAAGAAAAAAGGAACAGAACTGAGGTTGCCTCTGTACTTACTGCTCAACTTTTCTTATTTTGCTTCCATGGGGCTGACTGTTGTCGTTCTACAATATTACCCTTCGGTTATGATCATTTTACAACACTTCGCCGTATTCAGCTTTATAATAATCGCCTTCGCCCAGTGGCTCCCTTTAAAGATGGGATACCTGGTCGGAACTGTTTTCGGCGCCCTTTGGCTACTTTCAGTACAAACTGAATTCCGCTGGATCTTCAACAACTTGATCATTGCCATGTTTGCGTTTCTGGCTAGTCACGTTCAATTCCGGAATTTCGCCTTTTTGCAGATCTTTCTTTGGACAGCGCTGGTGTATGATGTCTGCCTTCTCGCTCGAATGAACGATTCTCCTCAGGTCTTAAGCGTTGGTGAATGTGGCAATCTACTGTGCCAGTTATTCGAAATGAACAGCTCATGGGAACTGCCCTCGGTCTTTACCGTTCGCTTTGGTGAAAATCAAACTCATGTTTTTCTGGGAACAGGTGACATTATAATAGGATCTATCGTGGCTAATTTTGCCATGTCGTTCTTCAAGTCGGCTAGATGCCTACTCGGAGTGGTAGCCAGTTATGCGATGGCCATTGCGCTGTTGAGTCAAGTAGAGGACGACCGCCCGTATCCCGCGCTGATTTCTATTGTCCCAATGTGCTCTTTTTCTCTTGTTGGTTGTGCGATTGCTTGCAGGAAAACAAAGCGGTTATTCTCCATGTCTAACAAAGAGAACAGTGAACTTCGCGAGGACGACTTCCTAATAATTTGATAATTATGATAATTTACGGTAAATTTTTCTCATTTTCTTTTCCGGCGACGGTTTGAAATGAACAATGGACTGCCTTTCATTGGACAACAACCTAACGTTTTCGCCCAAAGGTTGATCGGTTTGCTTTCCAAACCTTTCGGACGAGGACCTGAAAAAGGTTTTTCTTATTTTTCGAAGATATCGCACACAATGATTTTCTGAATCTATTTGGATTGCGCTTATATCACAGTCTTGCACGCATTTTAAGTCTCAGTGAACAATATTAATTGTATTTACATTTTGGCAGGGCATATCCTTTTTAATTTTAACTAAACGGCTAAGTTGCAGTGTCTTTCAAGTATATGCTTCAGTTTTTAAGGATCAGAAAGAAACTTTGTAATGCTAAGGTACTGATTTTAAATTTTTTTAAAAATAAAAACATAATATAAAGGTTCTCACTTTTTGTTATTAAGAAGATTATTTTTTAACTTTACTTGATTAGTAACTCTTTTGTTTAACCCAGCCATTAAAATTAAATGTGAAAATCAAATTAACTTGGTTCAGCCTTCGTTAGGATATTCTATTCACTGATATCAAATCGACAAAAAATATCCGGGTGGTTATTGAGGCCTCTGTTTAATTTTCACCCGTAGATTTTGATTGAATTGAATTTTCCTATATACCTGCCGATGCTAATTAACTTAACCTGCGAATACATAGAGGGTATTACATGCCGGCGTTGGAGATACGAAATTTCTCTTCTCGAGTTGAAAAAACATTTAATTTTCACAAAATGTTTTTTCAACACGAGAAGAGAAATTTCGTATCTCTAACGCGGCCATGTAATATCCTCTATTTCTCTTTGCTTCTCGCCGAAAGCGGGTGAATTCACAGGCTAGAGGTCGCAATGGAACCGTGGCCTCGACGGTAACATGAGAGAAAGTTCGCTAATCGTTTTTTCAGGACAATCTAAACATCCGAAATCATAATTTTTTATGCGCTCATTTTTGTACATCTCGAGCTCTATCTCCCTTAATTGTTTGCCCCTCAAAAATCCTCTTCCAGGTTCGGAAGACTGTAATATCAGCTGTAATATATCCAGATTGATTAAAAAACAAACAACCAAACAAACAAAGGTTATGCAAGAGCTTGGGAGCGCAAACAAGGTCAGAAGCATATAAGTGTATTATAATAAAATGAGACCTTACTTTTGAATCTAATACCGCTCCATGACTCTCCATGTAAACGTACGTTGCATTTGTCCATCCCAGTCCCTACTCCCTTTCGGTTGAGCTGGATGAGTTGGACTGGTAATAAACACAGCAACCAAGATGGCGTCGGCATGGTTTCTATGAGCTTTTGACTTTGTTTACAGCCAATGATTCGTTATTCTCTGGTTCACAAGCAATTTCTTAATTGCTTTCATCGTTTTCAAATTTTTAGAAGGCTACTCTTACGGATGGAGCTTTTGAAAAGAGTTTTTCTAGCTGTGAAGCCGTGGAATAATTTTTTCCAAGATGATGTTCTAAGATTGTCTTCAATGTTAGCAGATCGGTAAAAAATTCTTGATATCTCTGGGCCATGGATAAATTTCACCGCAACAAAACGGCAATTCGGATAAAAGTCATCAGCATGGGCAATGCTGAAACAGGAAAGGTAGAGTAGAAAGATGATTTCTTTCGTAATTTTCAATTTTATGAACCATTTCATTTGCCTGCATAAGTTAACTTTAATTTTTAAATTTTTGAATACTGTACACCGGTTTTTGCATTGTTCCTATTTACTGGGAGCTCTTGTTTCCAATTTCTCCCCGAAAACATTTGAATATTGGGACTTAAGATATAGGGTATTGTGTTAAGGTCACTTTGAATAAATGTGACAACTACATTGTACATTTCAATCGTCCCACACATGTACTGCAGTTATCTACCTCTTGGAAACAAATCCGCTGTGTAGTGAATATGTTGTGGTTCAATTTTATCCTTGGTTTAAATTTGAAATTTTGATTTTGTTTCAAACTAATTATCATGTTATATTACCATTCCCATAAACAAAAGGAAATAAAATTTAAACCAAGGTTAAAATTGAACCACAAGAAATACATCTCAGGTAACTGTTTGTTACATTTCTGCTCATTTTGTTCTTCAATTGATTTGTTTTAATAGTAGTTGTGTTTTCCTTTAAATATTACTTTTAACATCAAGTCGTTTGGTGCAAGACTTCACAATTCAATGTGGAGAATGAACACAGGACAAAGTGGGCAATCCGGAGGAGACGAGATAGGCCCATCTGTCTCATGCAGGCGCTCAATCAGACTACAGGGTCTATTTCATCTTGCTTGCTCTCCGAGCCAACCAAATGTGACAGTTCAATTTTTTTCACTGACAGGTCAATGTTTTATGAAGTCTACGTTTTCCTAATTCTGTTTTCACAGAGTTGTATCATTAAGCGATATTGTGAAAAGCGATTTGTGAGCAAGTATATGACAACTATAGGGATTGACTATGGAGTTACAAAGTAAGTTAAAAACGTTATGTAGCTGGAGTAACATAATAGTACTTTTGAGTTTTGTTTGTGTAAATGAACTAAGCTGAACAACACTTCAATTCAGCATTCACATTACTGAGATGTACTTTTCATCTAATGGGCATTTCAAAAAGTGGCATACATTTGCCAGAAATCAAACCACATACCATCTAAAATACATGTAATTCGCGCAAAAAAACCTTTTTCTCAGTAATGTTCCCCGAATTTTTTTCAAAAGGAAGTAAAGCCTTCTTATTCAGAGGTTTGACAAAAGGAAAAACTCTGGGCCCTGTTGTTCGAAGGCCAATTAGCGCTTAACTTGGGGTTAAATTTAACCTGGGTTTCTTTTTCTTGTGTTCAAAAGCATTTTCTCAGATAATGTTCTGTGTTAGTTTTTAAAGCTTCCAATAATCAACTTGCAGACAGAAATGATTTTTAAGCTTTCATATCTGAATTCAAATTTTGCTCTAACCCTGGGTTAACTTAACCCTGCTTTGAACAACCCGGCCCTGGTGAATATGTAAATTTTCTTTCCTGAACTATAATTTCAAGTTTTGTTTTCAAAGTGATGCCCCTTCAAAAGTACTAGAAAAAGAAATAAACAGTGTAGCCGCTACATTAACTGTTTGTCCCTTGTATTTGTAGGCTAATATAAAATTAGGCACACATGCATAATGTACAGATTGCACATGTGCATCTAAAAATACTCATAAGTAATTGCATTATACTTAAATCTTGTTGATTCCATTTAAGAGTTGTGTTACAGCATTCCATTGCCCCAATTGGTGAACTTTACTAAAACTGTGTGTGGACAAGGTGGGGAGGGGGTTTATTTTTAATGCCACCTCAAATTTTCTACTTGTCTGGAATCAGTTACCTTTTTTTAGCATATAAATAGTTCCTGAACGCAATGATTTTAAAGTATTGAAATAAAGTTGTTCCCTTTAGGGTTTCAGTAAATGGCAAAGAAGTTAAAGTAAATATATTTGACATGGCTGGCCATCCAGTATTTTATGAGGTACAGTACTTGCTCTATTTGAGGAAAATGTTCTGAAAAATAAAGGCACTTTTTCTGTTCATCCCTGTTTTAAATACACATAATAACGTAAGTTTATTTTGAAAATGGCTGCAAAAGTGGCCTCTAGAGGTGAATCCGGAGTTATTAGGTAGCCAATTATTCTAATTGACTTCCTGGGAGGATCATGTTCACTTTCACATCTTTATCCTCAGTTCAAAATATAATTCATTTCATATAAATTATGAATGAAAACAGTTGAGGACTTGAGGTAACTGCCAAAGTGAGGAGCTGACATTTTACATACAACATTATTTAATATTTTCTTATTTATAACTAAGGTACGCAATGAATTCTACAAGGACACTCAAGGAGCCATGTTGGTTTATGATGTTGGAAACCGTGAAAGCTTTGAAGCATTGGACAGCTGGCTGGAAGAAATCAGGAAAGATATCGGTAGTGCAGCTGACCTAGAAGGGGTAGTTTTTGCTGTCTGTGCCAACAAGGTAAGAAGCAGGAGAGAAACAATTCAATACTGTAACTTGTAACAATTCGCAAAGAAATCTAGTCTTGGAGTCGAGCTTGCAATCAGTTAAAGACAAGGGATAACTTCAAAAAACACATAACCTTGATTGGTGGACACCTGAGTCTACGATATGGTCATGCAATACCGATCAGCAGATACCTTGTTTTGACAGTTGTCAATTGATTCAGGTTGCAGGATCCCACATTAGCTAGAAAGTATGAGATTTTACATCGGTTTCTCTGAGGTGGGGGTGAATGGTAGGACTGACATATGGTCACGTGACTACCAGAATTTCTCGGATAGATAGATAACCAAATTTTCTTAGCTATATATGGGGCTCCGCTTGTGGATCTTCGCTGTTACAGTAACTTTTTAAACTGCAAGGGCTTACAGTCAACTGAGTTGCACTAAGGTTTCACCTTTTGCATCCAGAATCAAGAGTGGTTAAGGAAAGATTTGATTTTTGCAGTTTGGCTTGGCATGCATAACCATCTTGAACCATGTTGACTTGGAGACTGTACATGTAATTGCTCTATCAATAAAGTGGACTTACTTTCACTGGTTCTCTAGCGTGCTTTTATGATGTTTGGTGCACAGATTAGATATGAATAAATAGCAAAAGAAAGAAACAAAGGCAATATGCCACTTTAGGAACACGAACACGAAAAAGCAGCAGGATTAGCTCAGTTGGTAGAGCGCTTGACTGTAGAGCGGGAGGTTGCAGGTTCGATTCCCGGGGCCAGACCAATACTCAGGGTCTTAAAATAACTGAGAAATGGAGGTACTGCCATTGCGCTGCAAGCGGCTAGACCTTAGCGTGGCTTAGATGACCATGTAAAATGGCGGTCCCATCTCCAGTAGGAGATGTAAAAATAATGTCCCCATTTAGTACTTTTGTGCTAAATACATTGATGCTCAAATAAAGTGCATTTTTGTTTTTTTATTCTCAGAAGGGAATTTGAGCCATAATATGTCTTATTGTATCTGGGATTATTACTGGGGAGACGCACTGGTCAGCTATTGACTAATTTTTCTTCCCTGTCCCTAGTGTTAAACAGTGTCAGAAATCTTTGCCAAAGTTTACTCAACCCAGTTTCCTCTCGTTCCGAACTGGCAATTTCAACTTGCATGTAATAAGACTTCGAGTAGTCTCCATTTTCCCTCAGCGATAGTAGAGTGAGCGAAATGCAAGAGCATGTGAAAATTACCCTGCGTGAGAAGGGAGAGACGCGGCGGGGAGAGAGAGTTCTGCGCTGTGAAAGCAAAGCATAAGGTCAAAAGCTTGTGCTTTGTCTGTATAGTCCTTCATTTTTCTCTCTACCTGCTGCATGTGGCCTTTCTTGGTTGGGGTGGTGTTTTGCTCGCCTGAGGGAAAATGGGGACTACTGTAATCATGAATGTAACCAACTGAAATGGCTGAATTGTTGGCAGGTTACTTAGCATCATGATGGCAATTTAATTTCTTGTTTTCTGTCTGTCTTGTCTTTCTTCTTTTAAACTCTTCCTTGTTATCTGAGCTGTTCACAATCTAACTCACCTTTTGTACTGCAACCTGTAGGTGGACAGCCGCAAAAGAGTGGTGGAGGAGGCGGAGGGGCAGCTTTGGGCAAACAGCCATGGATTTTACTATTTTGAGACATCTGCCCAGACGGGGGAGGGAATTAATGATATGTTTCAAGTAAGTTCTTAGTAAATACAGCTTTTATATTAATTATTGTTTGTAAAGTCTACCAGATTTGTATCACGTTTCCAAAATAACAAAATAACTGTCTGTAGCTGTCTGTCTTTTTTGCAACTCATCCAAAATTCTCTTGCTTCAACTCGTATTTGCCCCATCCCCTTACCACCTACTATCCCAGCCAAGTCACACCCATGGAATTATTACTTGTAGTTTCTAGACCAACCGTGATTTAAATAATTCTCACTTGTGGCTGACTGATAGGTCAACAGAGTTCAAGAAATAAAATCAGTAATCAATAATAATCAATAATCTTTATTATTCTTATGTCGATGTACATGGTTAATATAATTCTACACTCGTGGATCTGGGTAAAAAAAATTAATATGCGGTTTCAAAAATGTCCAGATCATTCGTGTTCATGTGGACTTAGTTGGTCTGTATTTTGAATAAAGGAAATAAAAAGAAACTTGTTTATTATATAGACACGAGTGTTTTACTGGAAAATATACGTAAAATTAGTAGAAACTACATCCCGGACCCGAGTGGTTCATTTTCCATAATCTCACACGTGAGTTTATCGATGACGTAATTTTGGTAATTTCCCTCTATTATTTTATCGATGTCACATTTTTGTCTATATAATAAAAAGAATATTACACTGCGGCTTGAAGATATGAATTTTATTTTCTCGTGGCAAAAACAATATTTTACTCACTCGCTGCACTTGTTGGTGAAATATTGTTTTGCCACTCGAAAATAAAATTCATATCTTCGTGCCACTGTGTGATATCCTCTATTAATTAAAAGCGAGGGAATGTTAAAAAAATAATAAAACAAAACATTATACTCCCCTTCAATAATTATGGCTTCTGTTCCATAGACCTTGTTCAAAGCAGTGCTGACAGCAATAGAAAATGGAGGTAAACCAGTACAGCTAAATGCTTCAACTAATGTGGGTTATACTAAAGAACAAGCTGAGGCCATTCAGAGACTGAAAACAGCTAAAGATAATTATGAAAGACTGGGGCTACCGGCTGGGGCGAGCAGGTAAGGAAAAACTACTAATATTACATGTATTTCAGGCAAGTACCTGCACGATTAGCCAAAACAGTAGACTTGAAAAGCCTGGAATATCCTTAACATCAGACCCTTAAACAATATTTTAAAGATATTTATGAGCAAATTTCATGATTAGTTCGTGTTCGCCAGGATCATTGGTCGGTTATTAGTCCAGAAGATTCATAAGAACATCAATAATTTAATCTCATCTCGCTTGTGTACAAAATTGTGCTGAACTGACACAAAATACAAAAACCTCGTGTTCTTGGCCGAAAATGCGCATTCACAAAAAGTTCCCCAGGACTACCATTAAGGTTCTTCGCAACAGTTTGTATTGATACGATACAGTCGAACCTCCTTGGCTACCTCCTCTCGCAAGAGATCTATACAAAACTCTGCTCCCATATCCTTCTTTTGGGTCTCCAACGGATCCAACGAGTTACTGGAATTCGTTGGGTATTTCCCTTGAACCTGATTGGCAAATTGACAATACCTTTTTTGACAGGCCAGTTATGGCGCGTACCCAAATCCTGGTATACAACCAACACCACCACCTTCTGAGGTGATGGTGTAATAATTTTCTATTCTTATTAACCTCTTGTTAGGGACCACTTTACCATGGTCTGATCTTTATGTTCCCATATCTCTCCGCTGCAGAGGCTCCCCAGGGTATCCCAGTAAAAATAGCAATAATCGAAAAATAAGCAAGCGTGCGGGGGACGATAGGAACAGGCAAGGCTATTAAAGGGAGCCACAAATAAACAGTGCGGTCACATTTTAGAGCACTGAGCGCGAGTTTATATTTGCCTTTTCAGGGAGGACATTAACCGTGCTTATCGCAGGTTAGCTGTGTTGATACACCCTGATAAAAGTCTGGCACCCGGCACAGAAGATGCGTTCAAAGCACTGGTGAATGCTCGCGCAGCCCTTTTACAGACTCACAGATAACAGCAGCAGTATCTGAGAACATATATGTATTTATTTTGCTGTCGCACCCCACTCATCCTCAGTTTTCTCCTAAGATTTCTACATTGGAGTCTCTAAGATTCGTGGACGAGGAGGACGTTATTTGACTTAGTTTTTTCGCGTCTTCTCAAAAAACAAAACAAAAAAACAGACAGTAAAGCTTAGTGGTACCTTTTTCCCCAGAACGTTAGCCCTCTCCGCTACGACATCAAAACCGTATTTATAGAATGTCGACGGCTATCGCTTTTCCCCGCCACAATGGCCCTGGTTCTCGCGCGCTCCACGAAGTGTTGAGACAATTTCGTCCTCGTAGCCTTCGTGTTAAGAGTCTAAAGCTCCCTATAGTTGGAGAAGACCAGCACAGTAGCTCAACGAAGAGACCGACGAGGGGGAAGAAGAGAAAGGGCATCCCCTGCATCTTATACCCGCTACCCACGTTAGTATTTTAACGCGACGATGAGTAGGAGACGGGGTGTGGATGAGTCAGCTGTAAAGAAGATTTTAACTCACTTTCGAAGTACCAAACCAAAACCAGTGTGAATACCTTACGTTAACCATCTGCAGCTACAAGAGTTATAAACGCAAGCTGGATCAAGCGTGGGAAGATACCTGTGAATAAGTTACAATTTGTTTTGGTTTTCTTCTAATTGGGTGTAAAAGTGAATTACTTTGCCCAATCAAAGTAGATGCAGGTAATCAAATGAACCAAACGCAAGTAGACCTGGAGGCAACCTCGCTCCCAGTCTCTTCCTCGTCATTTCGGGGACGGGTATGAGAGAGCCTTGGGAACGAGCTTGAAATGAAAGTAGCCTTCGTGAAGTTTGAATCTACATGTTTCTTTATAGATGTATTTTAACTGTACATAATGTGGATACTTTAGTTACGTATAAAGTTTACAACTTGTATTTTAAAGCATGTTTTATTCTTAATATTTTGCATTTCGTTTTCATAATTATAAGTTGTTACAGTACTTGCGCTATGTAGTTGCTGCATTTGTATTTAACGTATTCGCCACCGTTAATAAATAGCTACATTCAAAAATAGCTGGGAACTAAAATGTATTGCCTACACGATATATACCTTAGTGTTCCGGGTTAGTGTGAACAATCGAAAACGGTGTGTTTGCTGTGGACGTTGTGATTTTGATGCGTGAACGAATTCGAAAACTGATTTTTTTTTGCTCATGGGCGGGGCCTAAATGCAATTTTTGAAGAACGAGTTTGCACATGGTGCACTGACAAAGACAGGCTAAAAGTTACTTTAGATTCAGTCTGCAATAGGCAGTGTCGCTTTTGTTATTAGCCCATATCCACTTGGCTGCCGTTGCGATACCATTCATTGTATTCCAAGGATTGTCGCCATGGTTTGCAATAACGTTTGCAGAATGCCAGCCCTGGTCATCAAAATCCGGGAAATTCCATCCGGGATACGGAAAGCTGCTGCATTTCCAGGATTCATCAGTTACCAGCCCGTTGCTCATGGAGCCGAGTATTCCAAAATTTCCTCCCAAGTCTTTCCCGGCTACAGAAAGAACTCGTGTGTTTCCTGGTACAAGGTAGGTACTGTTCGTTCCGAGGCTTTGACCAACAGCAAACATTTCCATTGAATTGTCACAAGTGAATGTTGCATTGAACTCTAACAAGAAGAGCAAATGTTTTGTTGTTCAGCGCAGTTGTAATGACAACACTGTATAATACATGAGCATGAGTGTTTTTTTTTTGTTTTTTTCGATCTTAAAACAAGCCGCAGGCAAATATCTTTCATTTCTGACATTAGATGATGTTTAGCCAATGCCACTTCCCTTCAATAGTTGTTTATTGATGTCTTTGAAATTCATACTAGTCTGTCGCACAAATCACGCAAATACCAAGGTCTGACAATTTCATGTCAAGGCCATGTTAGGGTTCGTGAGCTCAAGCCATGCAGGATCAAAACTGCGACTGTTTTTTTTTCACTTTGTTGTGTCAGTAAAACGAAACCAAAACCCGCGAAAGGTTTTTTCCATTTTAAAACATTGCACTGTTTGCATAAAACTGAATTTTTACCAAACTTAAGATAGCGACAAGGATGGAGGTAATAATGTCGTCACTCTGCTCCAGGATGACGTCGCAGTCATCATCAGGTTAAAAAGTTCGCCGCCATCTTAGAGAATGATGCGCATTAGAGTTGCGCAGTGAAAAACAGAGGATTGACCGGAGTTGTGCTCTAAAATATTCTAAAATATAAAGAACAAAGGCAACAAACAAGGGAGCGTATGGCTTGCGGGTGTTTGTATGTCTGAGGGTAACTATCGGCAACTAAAACAGCCAAAACAGTTGCGATTGGCGTGAAAAATTAAACTCCGTTGAACCTGTGATTCCTACATGACTACAAGCTTTAACTTACCCGTTTTTTAGTTTTCCCCGTTGATCGGTGGTTTAGTGGGGCGAGGTAAAGTTTCTCCTCCTTGTTCAAAACAGCAGGAAGCTCCATTATAGCATCTGGTTATCCAACAGCCCTGAAAAATGTCAGCAACACGTTAGCTCTTCTTTCCTTATCGACCTCTTCAAGATTGTTAGCCATCGACAGCCACATTGAAATGAGCACTCGGACAGACTGATTGCTCTGTTTTTCCGTTTGCCGTAACTCTAGTCTATTGCTCCTGCTTCTGTAATTGAATCACATATTGTTACCACTTTTGTGCAGCAAATTCAATACACAAGGAGAAAATTGTCAAAAACGTTGTTCAAGAAAAGGCGATGTTGATTGGCTGGGTCTTTTCTGGAGAAGCACCCAGAGAGATTCCTGTTTGAATATTAAGGTTCTCAAACGAAAAAATCCGGTCTCTCTGTTGAGTCATTTCATTTGACGATTGTGCCCGTTACGGCAAAAGGAAGAAGACAAAAAAGAAAAACGTTGTTAAATCCTAACTGATGTCAATTGAATTTGCTATTTAAAACGGTAAATCAGTATTAAAAGAGATTTAAACGGGGTCATTAATTCTACCTATTATTTCTAAGAGAACTTCTTTGTTTTACCTTGAGCACCAGTGCAAAAGTACTGCCTGCTTTATCAGTGAGCTGGGTCTCGTCGTTAAATGGAGAGAATTCGTGCATGTTCAATTCACAATTTCCTTTACTAGTCTTCCCAAAGGACTCTTGAAAGTTTGTAGAGGTACACCATAAGTGCTTCAAACATGTCTGACTACATGACAGGAGGCTGGGCGAATCAATTGTCCTGACTGTTTTGCCTTCTAAGCGCTTATTGTTCCTACTTATGAAGTAGGCAGATCTATTGTTTCCCGCTTCGGCTGCGAAAGCGACAGTACCTAGTACGCAACACAGACCAACTGACCATGAAATCATCTTTGGACTCTTCTAGCTTTCAGCGTGACATTCGTCTGACGAATGTTCTGAACGATTTGGAAACTTGCCGAATAAATTAAACTGGTAGATCTTGATAGGCAAGTTGTAATTTCTCCAATCTTTAGCGCCGCTGCTTGCCTAGTGGTGCTAATAAATAAATAGAGACGCTAATCTTGCTGTATTACCTTGTGAGCTTGTATACAATACAGTTAGTCTGCCCCGGCCCCAAGTCGACTTTCCTGCTAGCAGAGTTGCCTCGATCTTTCCTATACAAATCGACCATCTCCAAAACCGAAATAATAATTATCATGAAATAAAATATCAACGAGCGAAATGTTTTTAATCAAATTAAATCAATGGTAGGGCAAAGTAAACTTCAATTTTTCAAAACAAACAAAAAGGAGAAAAATCATTGTCAGGATTGTGACCTTTTCACAAAATACCAAACTGATAACCTCGGACAAAAGATAATGAGACAAGTTCGTTTCGAACGCCGAGGCCGGATAAAGGGAACTGATTTTTAGCGGTAATAAATATGGCATCTGATTTTTGAAAATCCGGCCCTATCAAAACACAAGGATCAGTATTAAAGCAGTACAACGTCTTGATGTGTCGTGATATAGGACACAAGCTTTGCTACAGTCTTAAAATATTCTAAGATCACTCTTTCTTGGTGAGAAAAGGCTTAAAATCTCAGTTTGAAAAAAAAAACAAAAACAAAAACAAAACAAAACAGCCGAATTAAAGCTATTTAACATAAATTGCTTGAACAATACACAAATTATAGCTGGTATTTAGTACCCCAATAGCATGTGTAGTAATATAAACGGTTCAAAATTGATTGCTTTATACATATTAGTATAATTGTGATTTACAGTGTAAAATAAACACGTTGACGTAAGTCTTTGTAAATAAAAGTTGGATAAGTGATAACAGCTTCAGAGCACCTGCTTGTATAAAGATTCCTTAGAAACTGCACTGATCTGTATCGGACAGAATCGTTAGTCAGACAAAGGATTTTAAAAAAAGGTTTAATAATCTCGCAATATTTGCATTGTGAAGGTGTGTAGCAAGGATTGGGAAGGTGTAGAATTGAAAGAAGTCCCTTTTTAGATAACCCTCTGGGGCCAGCAGGTAAGGAAAAACTACTAATATTACATGTATTTTAGGCAAGTACATGTACTTGCTTGCACGATTAGCCAAAACAGTAGAGTTGAAAGAACTCGAGCACCCTTAACATCAAACCCTTGAAAAATATTTTAAAGATATTTAGGAGCAAATTTCATGATTACTTTGCATTTATGAGATACAGTCGAACCTCCTTGGCTACCTCCTCTCGCAAGAGATCTCCTATACAAAACTCAGCTCGCGTATCCTTGTTCTGGGTCTCCAACGGATTCAACGAGTTACTGGAATTCGTTGGGTATTTCCCTTGAACCTGATTGGCAAATTGACTATACTTTTTTTAACAGGCCAGTCATGGCGCGTACCCAAATCCTGGTACACAACCAACACCAACACCTTCTGGGGTGATGGTGTAATAATTTTCTATTTTTATTAACCTCTTGTTAGGGATCACTTTATCATGGTCTGATCTTTATGTTCCCATCTCTCTCCGCTGCAGAAGCTCCCGCAGGGTATCCCAGTAAAATAGCAATGATCGAAAAATAGGCAATCGTGTGGGGGACGAAAGGATCAGGCAAGGTTATTAAAGACCGCCACAAATGAACAGTTCGGTCACATTTTAGAGCACTGAGCGCGAGTTTACGTTTGCCTTTTCAGGGAGGACATTACACTCTAAATCAGAAAGATCTGTTTTAGCCCTAAAAACAGGGCCGTTTCGGTGAGTAAAATACAGTCCTATTTTTGGGTCTAATTTGGCTCCCTTAAATCAGGGCCAGTACAGTCCAACTAGCTAGGGCTGATTTGGTCCCAGGGCTGAAATGGGCCCTACCGTGGGCTGGAATAGCCTTTTGATAGAGCTCTTTTGGCCTAAATTGTGCTCAAATGGCTCCAGGAAGGGCTGAATCAGACTTAAGCCTGCAGGACTGAATTGACACTTTGGGGCTGAAACAGATCTTTTTAATTTACAGTGGAACCATGCTTATCGCAGGTTAGCTATGTTGATACACCCTGATAAAAGTCTGGCATCCGGCACCGAAGAAGCGTTCAAAGCACTGGTGAATGCTCGCGCAGCCCTTTTACAGACTCACAGATAACACCAGCAGTGTCTGAGAACATATATGTATTTATTTTGCAGTCGCACCCGACAGTTTTCTCCTAAGATTTCTACATTGGAGTCTAAGATTCGAGGACGAGGAGGACGTGATTTGACTTAGTTTTTTCACGTCTTCTCAAAAAAAAATAGAGTAAAGCTTAGTTGCACCTTTTTCCCCAGAAAGTTAGCCCTCTCCAGATGGCAAAATGATAAAGTGTCTAACATCTGATAAATTGTTTCGGCCGCTACAGCATCCAAACCGTATTTATAGAATGTCAACGGCTATCGCTTTTCCCCGGCTAAAATGATCCTGGTTCTCCCGCGCGCCACGAAGTATTGAGACAATTCGTCCTCTTGGCCCTCGTCTAAAGAGTCTAAAGCTCCCTATAGTTGGAGAAGACCAGCACAGTAGCTCAACGAAGAGACCGACGAGAGGGAAGCAGAGAAAGGGCATCCCCTGCTTGCATACATCTCATACGCGCGACCCACGTTAGTATTTTAACGCGACGATGAGTAGGAGACTGGGTGTGGATGAGTGAGCTTTAAAGCAGATTTTAACTGACTTTCGAAAAACCACACCAAAACCAGTGTGAATACCTTACGTTAACAATCTGCAGCAACAAGGATTATAAACGCAAGCTGGATCAAGCGTGGTAAGATACCTGTGAATCAAGTTACAATTTGTTTTGGTTTTCTTCTAATTGGGTGTAAAAGTGAATTACTTTGCCCAATCAAAGTAGACGCAGGTAATCAAATGAACCAAACGCAAGTAGACCTGGAGGCGACCTTGCTCCCAGTCTCTCCTCGTCGCTTTGGGGACGGGTATGAGAGAGCCTTGGGAACGAGCTTGAAATGAAAGTAGCCTTCGTGAAGTTTGATTCTACATAATGTGGATACTTTAGTTACGTATAAAGTTTACAACTTGTATTTTAAAGCATGTTTTATTCTTAATATTTTGCATTTCGTTTTCATAATTATAAGTTGTTACAGTACTTGCGCTATGTAGTGGCTGCATTTGTATTTAAAGTATTCGCAACCGTTAATAAATAGCTACATTCATAAATAGCTGGGAACGAAAATGTATTGCCTACACGATATATACCTTAGTGTTCCGGGTTAGTGTGAACAATCGAAAACGGTGTGTTTGCTGTGGACGTTGTGATTTTGATGCGTGAACGAATTCGATTTTTTTGCTCATGGGCGGGGCCTAAATGCAATTTTTGAAGAACGAGTTTGCACATGGTGCACTGACAAAGACAGGCTAAAAGTTACTTTAGATTCAGTCTGCAATAGGCAGTGTCGCTTTTGTTGTTAGCCCATATCCACTTGGCTGCCGTTGCGATACCATTCATTGTATTCCAAGGATTGTCGCCATGGTTTGCAATAACGTTTGCAGAATGCCAGCCCCGGTCATCAAAATCCGGGAAATTCCATCCGGGATACGGAAAGCTGCTGCATTTCCAGGATTCATCAGTTACCAGTCCGTCGCTCATGGAGCCGAGTATTCCAAAATTTCCTCCCAAGTTTTTCCCGGCTACAGAAAGAACTCGTGTGTTTCCTGGTACAAGGTAGGTGGTGGCGTTTCCCCAATTACTGTCCGTTCCGAGGCTTTGACCATCAGCAAACATTTCCATTGAATTGTCACAAGTGAATGTTGCATTGAACTCTAAAAAGAAGAACAAATGTTTTGTTGTTCAGCGCAGTTGTAAAGACAACATTGTATAATACATGAGCAGGAGTGTTTTTTTCGATCTTAAAACAAGCCGCAGGCAAATATCTTGACAATATATAATGTTTAGCCAATGCAATTCCCCTTCAATAGTTGTTTATTGATGTCTTTGAAATTCATACTAGTCTGTCGCACAAATCACGCAAATACTAAGGTCTGACAATTTCATGTCAAGGTCATGTTAGGGTTCGTGAGCTCAAACCATGCAGGATCAAAATTGCGACTGTTTTTTTTTTTACTTTGTGTCAGTAAAACGAAACCAAAACCCGCGAAAGGTTTTTTCCATTTTAAAACATTGCACTGTTTGCATAAAACTGAATTTTTACCTAACTTAAGATAGCGACAAGGATGGAGGTAATAATGTCGTCACTCTGCTCCAGGATGACGTCACAGTCATCATCAGGTTAAAATGTTTGCAGCCATCTTTGAGAATAATGCGCAGTAGAGTTGCGCAGTGAAAAGCAGAGGAATGACCGGAGTTGTGCTCTAAAATGTAAAGAACAAAGGGAACAAACAAGGGAGCGTATGGCTTCCAGCTGTTTGTACGTCTGAGGGTAACTATTGGCAACTAAAACAGCCAAAACAGTTGCGATTGGCGTGAAAAATTAAAATCCGTTGAACCTGTGATTCCTACATGACTACAAGCTTTAACTTACCTGGTTGGTAGTTTTCCCCGTTGATCGGTAGTCTAGTGGGGCGAGGTAAAGTTTCTCCTCCTTGTTCAAAACAGCAGGAAGCTCCATTATAGCATCTGGTCATCCAACAGCGCTGAAAAATGTCAGCAACACGTTACCTCTTCTTTCCTTATTGACGTCTTAACGATTAAAACTCTGAAAGGTTTGAACCCAGGAGTCATTTCAAAAGTAGGTTGTGTTTGATCGTCCGGGTGAACGTAGTCCTGAATAAGACTGTTGTTGTTGACAGTGAGTGACGTTTCGACAACCTGTGCGGTAGTCATCTTCAGAGTCAAAGTGAGCTGTATCACGTCACGTCACTATTGTTAGCCGTCGACAGCTACATTGAAATAAGCACTCGGACAGACTGATTGCTCTGTTTTTCCGTTTGCCGTAACTCTAGTCTATTGCTCTTGCTTCTGTGAGTCACATATTGTTGCCACTTTTGTGCAGCAAATTTAATACAAGAGGAGAAAATTGTCAAAAACGTCGTTAAAGAAAAGGCGATGTTGATTGGTTGGGTCTTTTCTGGAGAAGCACCCAGAGAGATTCCTGTTTGAATATTAAGGTTCTCAAACGAAAAAATCCGGTCTTTCTTTTGAGTCATTTCACTTGACGATTGTGCCGGTTACGGCAAAAGGAAGAAGACAAAAAAGAAAAAGATTGTTACTGATTTCAATTGAGTTTGCTATTTAAAACGGTAAATCAGTATTAAAAGAGATTTAAACGGGGTCATTAATTCTACCTATTATTTCTAAGAGAACTTCTTTGTTTTACCTTGAGCACCAGTGCAAAAGTACTGCCTGCTTTATCAGTGAGCTGGGTCTCCTCATTCAATGGAGAGAATTCGTGCCTGTTCAATTCACAATTTCCTTTACTAGTCTTCCCAAAGGACTCTTGAAAGTTTGTAGAGGTACACCATAAGTGCTTCAAACATGTCTGACTACAAGACAGGAGGCTGGGCGAATCAATTGTCCTGATTGTTTTGCCTTCTAAGCGCTTATTGTTCCTACTTAGGAAGTAGGCAGATCTATTGTTTCCCGCTTCGGCTGCCAAAGCGACAGAACCGAGAAAGCAACACAGACCAATTGACCATGAAATCATCTTTGGACTCTTCTAGCTTTCAGCGTGACATTCGTCTGACGAATGTTCTGAACGATGTGGACACTTGCCGAATAAATTAAACTGGTAGATCTTGATAGATCTTGATAGGCAAGTTATAATTTCTCCAATCTTTAGCGCCGCTGCTTGCCTAGTGGTGCTAATAAATAAATAGAGACGCTTATCTTGCTGTATTACCTAATGTGAGCTTGTATACAGTACAGTTAGTCTCCCCCAGCCCCAAGTCGACTTTCCTGCTAGCAGAAATGCCTCGATCTTTCCTTTACAAATCGACCATCTCCAAAACCGAAATAATAATTATCATGAAATAAAATATCAACGAGCGAAATGTTTTTAATCAAATTAAATCAATGGTAGGGCAAAGTAAACTTCAATTTTTCAAAACAAACAAAAAGGAGAAAAATCATTGTCAGGATTGTGACCTTTTCACAAAATACCAAACTGATAACCTCGGACAAAAGATAATGAGACAAGTTCGTTTCGAACGCCGAGGCCGGATAAAGGGAACTGATTTTTAGCGGTAATAAATATGGCATCTGATTTTTGAAAATCCGGCTCTATCAAAACACAAGGATCTAGTAAAAATTCGGCGTTTAAAAAAAGTTGATATATACTACCTACTGGCGTGAATGAAAGAATATTCTTTATTTAAACACAATCAGTATTATTATGTGTCGTGATATAGGACACAAGCTTTGCTACAGTCTTAAAATATGCTTAGATCACGCTTCCTTGAGGAGAAAAGGCTTAAAATTTCAGTTTGAAAAAACAAAAACAAAACAAAGCAAAACAGCCGAAAGCTATTTAACATAAATTGCTTGAACAATGCACAAATTATTGCTGGTATTTAGTACCCCAATAGGATGTGCAGTAATTGATAGATAGATAAATCGTTTATTGTATAAATACTTTGCAGTCGTAAAACTGAATTGCGTATTTTACAAATAACAGTTAAAATATAAAACTAATTACAATCACATGAATATAAATACTTGTGCAGTAAAGCTAAAAAATATGTATAAAAATCTTACAATAAAGTCGACTTCTTGGAAACTTTAAGAGCTTTATGGGCAACCCTGGCACATAACATAAACAAAAGAGCGTCTGAAACGTTCCGTATGAGAACGTGGCCACAGGTTCTACAGTTTAACAGCTTTTCTGTTCAAGCCATTAATGGCTTTTCCTGGCTTAATAACCATTGTAGATTGTCAGAGGACATGACTTGTCTGGTTATAGGTCTTCCAGGCCTACTCTTTCCAGCTTCAAATCTAATTGGCTCTGTTGTCCACCTGAGCTTGCGCCCCTTCCTCTTCGTCACCACCTGACGCAGGTGAATCATCTAATTCAATTGACCCCTGGAGCAATGCAACTCGGCGTTGCTCTTCAAGGCAGCTCAAACAGAAGTTTTTTCCATCTTTTATTATTTGAACTTTCCCGATGATACACTTAGGTGAATCTCTATCGTCACGGTGCCCAGTCCGGTATACAAGGGGACCTTCCTCTGACTGTTCCAGCCATCTCAAACCCATGTGATCTTCCAAGAATGCGTCACCGTTATATATGGTGGAGATCTTTTAAAAGAACTTGAAGGAAGAAAGATTGATATACCTCTTGTAATTGTGCTTGAGAGCAACTACGTCGCCTTTTGAATAGATAATCTCATATTCTTCGGCTGCGTCTTGAACTGTAGTTTGTCCTTCACTCCCTTGAACCTCTTTCAGCAGATCGACTTCTCCATGTGCCGACGCATTCCTTCTGAACATACTCAGAGCAAGTGGATTGAAGTGTACCAGCTCTTTCTTTGGTCTTCCCTCTCGTTCGTTGCTGTCATACACCCCGTCCGGATTCTTTCGCAAAGCTCTGCAATAGCCTTCCTTTGTCGCTCCTTTCCCTCCGCGCTCGTTTCCTCGTCCACATCCTCCTTAAGGTTTACTCTTGCCGTGCGACTTTCGAAGCCATTCCGGTGCCTTTGGACCCAGCTTTCTCTGTGTGTAATGGCTCTGACGACCGGTATAAATAAGATATAAACGAGGATACGTAGTCGTTCAGAGCGGGTGTTCTCACTCCACTAAAAAATTCAGGGTCCAAATCTAAGCTGGCCTTTCGCGGCCAACCATTACATAAGCCGAGGCCGAATAGCCGAAAGGGTCCAAAAAATTCTTTTAGATCAATATTAGGGCCATTTATACGAGGAAAAATAAGACGCGTCTTAAATAAGACGCTAACTGTACCATTTATACGAGCATGTCTTTAATATCTAATAAGACGCGTCTTAGCTAAGCCGCGTCTTATTTTACACAAAATGTGCCGTTTATACGGAAAGTTCGCGTCTTATTTTTCCTCGTATAAATGGCTCTATTGTCACTAAAGTCTGTAAATTTTGTGCAAAATGAAATAGCCACTGCGAATGAGGTCTGAAAAAATCTTGTATGAAAAAATAACCCATCCCTGACTCAAAAATCAAATAGTGGGCCCCTTACTGGTAGCCCTTCATGCCGAGTGCTATAATATATTAAACGCCTGCAGACTCTGCTACTTGTACCTAGTATGCAACATTCCTTTCACCAATTCAATCGTTTATTTTATAAAAAAAAAACTAAAGAAAATAAACTATAAAGGTTTTGTTACTTTTATTTCACCGAGGTAAGTCTTTGGTGTTCCACTTATTTTCACTAATTCTACACAGTCATTTGAGACTGTTTATCATACAAGCTAACGTTTATCAGTGATACAGTCCTTTACTTTCCCGGCCCAATACTAGTACTGGTAGGTGAACCGATCTCGGTTTCCCATCAGAGTTCGAGATAACCCTAAAACTCCATGCAATTAGAGCAGGTTTATTAAATTGCGAGAAAGCCCTTATTTTGCAACATTTTAAGCGCGCGAATTCATTGTACTTTTGCATTCTACTTTTGACGTCCATTCTAATTAGTACTTTTAAGAGTTAAGTTACTGGTCAAAAAATACGAACCTCGATTTATAGTCGCCTTGTGACTTGCCTTGAGGCGATGAGGCAATCGGCACTTATACAGTAAATTCCGCTTTCAATGAATCGGTTTGTCTATTGTCCTGGCGGTATTGTTATGTTTTATCAGCCGAAAAACTCTATGCTTGGACCCTTGCCGGTTGCCAGGAGTAAATCAGTCAAGGAAGTATTTACGTACCTTTCTCTGTCACAGGATTTCTTTTTGTCCTTTTTCTTCTTCCCCATTTCTCGCAAAAAAAGATATGTATAAATCGCTTTCTCTGCCTTCTGGGGTTGACAGCGCGTTCAGGAGTTGCGTTACAAAGCGAGAAAAGTGACTTGAGATTCATATTACAGTGCCCTCAACTATTAATAAATTAAGAATATGATGCCATGTTTTCGTCAAACAACCAGGACTTCGTATGACAGGAACTGCTGCCAGCCGGAAGCAAGAATAGGTAATGTACCTCGGCCAGGAAATTCTATGGACACAAACCTTATTAAGCGGAAAAATAGTGGGATAAGAGATTTTTAGGCCGTGTAATAAATCTGATCTCTGATTCGGGCTCAAAAGCCTTGTGATCCCTGATCCCATTCTTCTGAGCCCTGAGCCCTTTGCTCTGAGCCCTGATCCCAGTCATATTTTGGGCTTTGAGCCCTGAGCCCATATACCATGTTACGACCCTGATATGCAACAGTAACTGTAAGTGTTGTAATATGAACTCGAACTATCTTTCGATAATTTGATTGCACTGACAGCGAGCAGGGTTTGGAACGTTCCTTACAATCCCAGGCCCCCCATTACAGGCCCCGTACAATATCAGGCCCCCCATATCAGGCCCCCCCATTCCAAGCCCTCCCATATCAAGCCCCCCATTTCAGGCCCCTTACCATATCAGGCCCCCCCACATCAGGCCCCCATTCCCATATCAAACCCCCCATCCTAGGCCCACCATTCTAAGCCCCGACGATCAATACGAGGCCCCATGTTAATAATTATAACAAGACTAATAATGAAAATACTAATGATAACGATAATAGTAATAACAATAATCAATAATAATATTAATACTAAAATTCTTAATGGCAAAGCGAGTGAGAGTGCCAGAAGCCAGAAGTTTATTTAATAAAAATGTTATGCTTGCGCCATGTGTCACGCCGAGTATTTATTGTTCTGTTCTCTCTTTTTTTATTTTGATTGTTGTTGTTGCTTTTAGTAGTTGCCTTGTGATTGCTTTGCAAAAAGGCATGAAAGTGCTAGTATCAATAAAATTTCAAGACTACTTCACTACCCTATTTGTATTCTGTTCTAGGTAAATCAATCTTTTGTAGATGAGGACGGCACTCTGATACCCCGTTAACAGGATTATAATCGTTTTTTACCTGCACCAGAATTGAAAGACTATAGAGGCCCTAATTATTTTCGACTTAACAATTTTGTAGAAAAAGTTGCATGGGTTAAGTTCGTTTGAACCTTGTGAACTAAGAAAAAATTACTTTATTTTTGTGACAAGCTATTACGGTCAGTGGGGAACGTGTGGTGGAAACCTTTTGGTTGGGTTTAATACGTGCTTCTTGCATGATAAATTACACTCGCTGTACACTGATAACCCGATAACCGATGAGAGAAAGATTAATTGCAACGGAATTGCAATGACGTCAGGAGCAAATAAAATTGATTTGATAACGTTGGTCCTATGTCGGTCCCGTGACCGGTTCGGCCGTGTTATGGGCTCGAAAATCCTTCAATAAGAATGAGCGAGACCAGGTTTTTTTTTTAGCATGCAAGACTAAGCCCCCAGCCAAATCCTTGTCTTCACTAAAACGGCTGGACGCACGACCTGGTTGAGGTCATTGTTATCTAAGGTCTTCCTAAGTGCTCCTGAATACGTACAATATTCTTTCAACAAGCCTACGCCCTACCCTTGCCCGGCCCCCGCTTTCGCGCGAAAGGAGATCGAGAAAAATTGACCCTCGAAACCACACTAGATATCAGACGTTTCTTTTCTTTTCTGTTATTTTCTGTCAGTGTTCTGTCATTTTTTTCCTTGCGGTAAACAT